TTAAATATACATATAAAAACCGATGATATACATATATTTGTATGTATGTTATAAAAATACAAAAAGAATGCTAAGTTTTCAACAATGGATACACTTTATGGTGTTAGATTACACTGGCAACTAACTTTTTTACTTATATAGTCATAATTTTGTTTTCATTTAGAAGGTTGTGGGATTGTTTTAATATTAAAAGGTAGACTCCTAACTATATTGTATATGATTTCAAGAAATTTATAAATGAAAGAGGCAAAATATCTTCACAAAGCTTTTAGGGAAGGTAACAAACAGAATTTTGCATGTGGCAGAGCATGTAGGGAACATTGCTCATAAATATCAGGGTTTCTGTAAAAAGAAACTGTAAGCTGTATCTTACCTCCACTCACTCCTCAAGGAAGAACAGTCTCCATCTACGACATCCACATCATCAAACCTATTTCTGTGAGGTCAGGCATGGACCCATGCTCCGTACACCTATTTCTATCTATCAATTCTAATACCAGCCATCTCTCCCAAGACTCTTGCTCTTCTGCTAATGATCCATTGCAATGGCCACAAAGAAGTCACATACCATACTTATAATTATGAAAATTAGCTGGGAAGGTAATAGATTACAATTCTTCAGTCTGTGGGATAGCAGTCCTTAGTCAACTCTGTCTCACATTGATATCTGGCTCTCCACTACTATTGTAGGACGTCAATCCCAGTCTATCATTTTCCTCAGGAATCTCTTGTCCAAATACAATGCATTATCTACTACTTTTTTTCCTGATAATGAGATTCTCATCTTCTGCCTGTAAACCTGATCCATTTAAGAGACACTGAATGGTAACATTAACCAATTTTATTTTAAATAGTCTACACACTTGGTTTGCTTGTTCTTACCCATCCATGTGGCAAAAGTCACAGCCAATGAGATAGGAAAGCCATTTTTAACAATAAATCCACAACACCACAACATTTAAAATCCACCTGGAAAATATGTCATTAACACTGAGTATGACCACAATAACTATTTATGTAAATTGTTTTTTACCTCATTTGGTAACATGACCCAAAATACTCTGGATACCTTATTTTAGACAGAAACAGGAGGATTAACATAAGTGGCATTGGTCAAAACTGCTCAGGGGTGGGGGATCTTTAAAGTGTTGAAAAGAAGTTGTCACCTTTAGAGCTAAGATGAGATCAATCCATATCTGGGAAAGCTGAATAAGAACAAAAATTATCTAAGAATTGATGCATTTGAATTGAGATGTTGGTGAACAAGAATATTGGATATAAGCCAAAAAGAAAGAAAGAAATGTCCATGGATTTCCAGAAGAAAGGACAAATCTGTCTTAAAATAAGTATAGCATTCATACTACTTAAACTATTTATTATATCCTTATACCAAGGATATAATGCTTGGTAATATATAGGGTCACTGAAAGAGTAGGAACCAATTCAAGGGCACCTGGCAACAGTTGTGTATGTGGCAGAGTTGACTTTCTGAATTGTCTGAGCAGAGAAAATATTTAGATCAAAGGTGGACAAAGTTCTCTCTGTGGAGCAAGTCTACAAAACCACTAACCCTGTGTTCATGCACCCTAAATTTTCCTGTTCTCCTACCAGGAGAGCCCAGATTCTTTCATCCCATTATTTACTCTTGTGAAAATAACAAAAGCACAATTTAACTCTCCCCAGAGGAACCAACAGGAAAGAGGATCTCCCATAACATATAGTCTTTCCCATTCCTCTGTCCATGTTGCTATCCTAGATCACCTCTTGCAGGAGTTACACTGACTTTGTTTAATGTTAATAGAGCAAGATGCTTTAGTGAGATGTTTTGGAAAACTGGCTTGGCTAGGATCTGTGAAAGCAGAGTGGATCAGGTGGTGGATGTTTTTCAAAGAGCAGAATCTCACATAGCTTTACATTGCATCTTCATAGTCTTCATGGTCAGAATAGTCTACAGCTGCAATAGTTGCCTTCTTCAGCTTAGAATAGATGGGCAAAGAGACCTGGAATCAAAGTTTCACAGATAGGACCACAGCAGAGAAGATAAGACTGCAGTAGAGTACACTTCTCACTCACCCTTTTCCCTCTTAGCCAGAATGCATCCTATCATGGTGTACCACTGAGCGTTGAAGTTGGAGCCACTTTTAAGGCTGCACTCCAATAATTTTCTAAAGGTTTAGATCCCTCCAGTTCACAGTTGAGGAGCTCTGAACTTGTCTACAATGAGCTTGAGAAAGGTGGTCAAATGTGTTAAAAATAACCCCAAACACACATGGCCTTCCCTCAATATTTAGGCCATCATTAGGCAATTCCATGAACTATCATTTAAGAGTTGTTAGAATTTCGTATTTATAAATTAAATTCAGGGCATCATTGAAGTTTACGAAGGTCTTGAATTCTGTCTTTTTTTTGGATTGAATCGTGTCCTCTCAAAAATTTGTGCTAGAAATCTAACTCTTGGACTCATGGATGTAATCCTGTTTGGAAATGGAATTTGATATGATAATGAGGCTGTATAGGTCTAGGAGGTATCTTAAATCCACTCACTTCTGAGTTACCAGAAAAGCAGATACAGGTCTGGAAATATCACCAAGGAACTGAGGAATATTGAGTCTACAAAGAGCTCGCTCCAGAGATGCCAGGGGGAAAGCCCTCTTCTATTTCAGACTCCTTGCCTTCTGTTATTTGAAGTCACACATTTGTGGTATTTATGATAAAGTAACACTAGACAATTATATTCTTTGCTGAGACATCTGATTGCCATGTCACACTAGACAGAATTACAAAGTGTCTATTGTCTTTGCATACAATTACAAAGCACCTATTGTCTTTGGACACACAAGGAGAGTTGTAATTCTGTAACATTCAGAAACTATAACATCTGTGACATCTTAGGTTGTTCATGTTTTACAAGTCATTGATTTTTTTTAATAATGCAAATCACTATTAGTATAGTTATGTTCGCTATGAATTTGGTTTTTTGTTAGAATATATAGCCCAAAGCTATATGTATGTGCTTCAACACTATTTCAGGATGAATATTTTCAAGTAAATAGGCTTTCTTAGGCTTGGTATGCACCATGATTCAACAACAAAGCTTTCATTTCCCTATTGCTAAATGCCCATCTATGCTCCCCAAATTTTCTTTTAGCAGTATTATTATAATTAACTTTTATCCCCATTGTGTGGAGAGATAAGGCAGGAGGTAACCCACAAAAATCTTTTGCTTTTCATAAGTGGTTATATTTTTAGAAGTTTTAGAACCAGTGCCTAGAAAAAAAGAGACAGACTGTGGAGAAAAGAACAACAGAGTCTTTAGCTTACCTTTTCATCAGTAAAGGTCCTTGAGGGTTCTAAAATGGAGAAAAGGTTAGTGAAGTAAGACTCAAGTTATATTTAAAGTCTTTTTCTAAAGTGCTATTAGTATAGACTTCTTCCTTTCCCACAGTGTCCATTGGTATTGTCTGTCTTCATTTTCCTCTTCTTGAAAATATTATTTTCTTACTGTATAGAGAAATAGTGAGAGCCTGGGGATGTGAAATAAATATGTCTTTCCTGATATAAGAGGTATAATAATATCATTCAGATTTGTTGATCCCATCAAGTATAGAATAAAAATCAGCTTAGTAATGACAAGGGGGTGATGGACTGCTGTAGAGAGTGTAGGACTATTCAGAGAGGCCAGGCATCCGATCACTGACACACAACTGGATAGTGAGACATTAAATAGACCAAATTAACATCAGCGCTGGGTCTAGTAGAGGCATCTTCTAGACCAAAGACCAGTTTTTTGGATAAGAACAGCAAAGCTTTTAGAAGTCAGAGCAGAAGCAGTGGTTCTAACTATGCACAGGCACTGCTTCTTTTCATGGTTCCAGGAAAGATAAAAGTTATACACAAATTCACTCCCTGTGCCTCACCTGGTGCTGATCCTTGTTCCTGCTGAACAGAGTATACAAGGGAATAGACATCATTCCCACTTACAAGGTTCACTGAAAGAGAAGAAAGGAGGCATCAGGACACAGCTTCTTCTTTTTTATCACTCAGCTCACACTGTGCCTATCCACCTATCACAGCCAGGAAGACAGATGAGCCAATTATTTGCTGAAATATCTGAGGAACAGTAGAGTCAGGTCATGCTGACAGGTGTGACATCATGAATCCTTTTCTGGTTTCCTAGTTCACTGTACACATTTTGCCTTGTATCATTTGGTAAGTCTTACCATTTTCGTACACAGGCTGTAAAGGCACTGGACTGGGTGAGTTTAGATACGTAGAATGTTGTGGTAGAGGACTGGGAGGGCTCCTGGAAACATAAGAACACATGCCGTAGTTTTGGAAAGTAAATGAGAGATTAAAGAAGATAAATCTATTAGAAAGCATCTTGGGCATAAAATTAACCCATAAGTAAATTAACATCAAGATGGCACATTTATATGGATAAACCAACACCACACGCATAGGTTGAGTAAGGCATTAAAGAGCATTTTTTTGTTGTTGCTGTTTGAAGCCATTGAGTCAGGTCTGACTCATGGTGACCTTTTGTGTAGAAGAATGAAACATTACTCAGAACTATAACATCTTCAGAATCTTTGAGATGATTGAGTCCACTTTTGAGATTAATGAGTCAATCCATCTCATTCATGGTCTCCATGTTCCCATTGACCCTCTCCATTACCAAATGTGGTATAGTTTTCTAGTGATTGGTTTTTCCTGATGTTGTATCCAAAGTAAGCAAGCCAAAGTTTTGTTATCATTATTTCTTTTTTTTAAAAAAATGCTTTCATTTTATTAATGGACCAACTAGGAACCACAGAGATGGCATTGCTCAGTCAGAATGCATTGTTCTTAGGTTCTAACTCATTGATCTTCCCTACACACAAACACCTTTTCCAATCATCATAAGCAAAAATGAGAATGTTATTTCATTCCCATAGGCTGGAGAAAACAATACTTAATCTTCTAAATAAAAAGATAAGTGGTGTGTTACTGTAATTTTTACATCCTTTTCTACAGAGATCATTTTATTTATTGATTTAAATTCATTTCCTCCTAGAAATCACTATGCATCCAGGTTTTTTACATTTTTTTAATTTATTTATATGACAGTTTACAGAGACTTAAAGTCTCCAATTCATTGTTGCACTTTTCTCCCTGCCCACCCCTCGCCCCCCATTCACTCTGATCCTTGAAAAGAAAAAGAAAAACTTTTTCATTGTTATGCAATCCCTGCCCCCAAGTCCAATCCACTATGCAGCCTTCACTCTGGAATTCTGTAGAATACCAAATCATATATCCCTTTTAAACAGTTCTTTCCCTCATCAGTTTCAATGCAATATACATCATTCTTTCGCTCATTTTCTGTCTTCCTTAAAGCCTGATATCAGTCCCATTTTACAACAGTGGCCCTATGCAATATTTATCCTTTTGTGACTGAGATATTTCACTCAGCATAATGTCCTCCAGGGGCATCCATTTTACATAATATTTCATGAGTTCCTAGTATTCCATCGTGTGAATATACCAGAGTTTCTCTATCCGTTTGTTAATGGTCACTTGGATTGTTTCCAGTTCTTTGCTATTGCGAATAAAGCCACAATAAACATGGGTGTGTATATATCTGCTTGGGTGGTGGTTATGGTTTCTTTAATTCCCAGTAGTGGAATTGCTGGGTCAAATGGTATTTGTATTTGTAACTTTTTGAGAAAGTGCCATTGCATCTTTCTTAGAGCTAGGGATTTTGAACATTTTTTTAATGTGTTTGTTTTCCATCTGAATGTCTTCTTTGACGAAGTGTCTGTTCATATCCTGTGCCCATTTTTCAATTGGGTTATTTATCTTGTTGTGGTGCTTGAGTATTTAAAAATTTTAGATATAAGTCCCTTGTCTGACATGTCATTATCAAATATTTTTCCCAATCTGTGGCTTCCCTTTTTACCCTGCTGGAGAAGTGTATAGGGATTTAATTCTTAGATTAAAGAATGTCCCTATGGCAAAATATGCACTAGTGTGTATTCTTCATGAGTGAGAAGGCTTACTGTCTCATGTACTATCATTCACACACAGAATAGGGCCATTCACATAATAAGTGCTCACTAAGTATTACAAAAAGAATAGGGATTCAATCAACATGGAAAACAGGTGGCTGAACAGTACAAACTGCTTGAGGAAGAGCCAGAAGAAAGGGGTAACAAGTATCTATGTACCACTTCAAGAATACTACCATGATGAGGGGGAAATATCTGTGTATATTTGGCATAAACAATAATACTCTACAAAAATATACCAACTAAATGTTGATATTCCTGTAGTTATTGTTGTTATGTGCCGTCAGGTTGCCTGTGACACATAGTGACCCTATGTACAATATAGCCCTAAACCCTGCTCTGTCTCATGACAATCTCACTGTCTCCAACACACCTATCCCCATTGTCCCAGTCATTGAATCAATCCACCTCATAGAGGGTCTTTCCCTCCTGTGGCATCCATCCACCCTCCCAAGCATGACATTCTTCTCCAAGGACTGGTCCCTCCTTGTAGCATGTCCAAAGTATGTCAGACAAAATCTCAGCATCCTTGCCTCCTAGAAGCAGCCTGGTTTAACCCTTTCTGGGATGAATCTGTTCATTTTCTCTGCAGTCCATGGTATATTCAATACTCTTCTCCAATACCACCACATCTAAAGACATCAATTCTCCTTCTAACCTCCCTAGTCATTGTCCAACTCTCTGATGCATAGCAAGTGAATGCAAAGACCATGGCCTGTATCAGGCACACCTTAGTCTCTAAAGTGACACCATTGCTCTTTGGTATTTTGGAGAGGTTCCTAACAGGAGACTTTCCCCATTGCAATACATCTTTTCATTTCCTGGCTGCTGGTGCCAAGAGTGTTGATTGTGGAGCCAAGCAAACTAAAGCTATTAACAATCTCAATCTCTTCAATATCCATCCTGATGCTGCCAATTGGCCCAGTGGTGAGAATCTTTGTCTTCTTGATATTGAGCCTCAATCCATTTTGAAGGCTGCAGTTCTTGACAGTGCTTCGGGTCCTCCTCAGTTTCAGCAAGCAGGGTTATGTCATCTACATAACACAGATTGTTGTCGAATCTTCCACCAATCCTGATGCCACACTTCTGATAAAGCCCAGCCTTCCAGATAATCTGTTCTGCATACAGGTTAAAAAGGTGTGGAGATAGAACACATGTGTGGCATACACCCTTCTCAATTTTGAGCCATACAGTGTTTCCTTGTTCTGTTCTGATGACTCCCTCCTAGTCTTAAGTATAGATTTCACATTAGCACAATCAAGTGTTCTGGGATTCCCATTCTTCTCAGAGTCAGCCACAGTTTGTTACGATCCACACAGTCAAACGCCTTTGCATAATCAATGAAACACAGATAGACATCCCTCTAGTATTTCCTGCTTTCAGCTAAGATACATCTAACATTAGCTACAATAACCTAGTACCATGACCCCTTCTACAGCCAGCCTACACTTCTGGCAGTTCTCTGCTGAAGTCTTTTCTTCCTATAAACTTTACAAAAATGTAAGTAATTTTTCAGTATATTTATTACTCTCTATTTTGCATCACAGAATAATCTCTATATCTTGTTGTTAGGTGCCATCGTCTCAATTCCAGTTCATAGTGACTTTATGTACAAAACGTAATACCACTTGATGCTATGTCATCCTTACAGTCATTGCTTTATTTGAGCTTATTGTTGTAGCCATAGCATCAATACTATCTGTCTTTCACCAGTGACGGGTTCAGTCTGTTGATCTGATCCAATTCCTGATATTCTCAATTGCTTCTTATGCATGTAAAATTTGGACAATGAGTAAGAATGACAGAAGAAGGATCAATTCCTTTGAATTGTGGTATTTGCTAAGAATACTGAATATATCATGGTCTGTCAAAAGAACAAACAAATCTATCTTGGAAGGAGAGCATCCTGAGTGTTCCTTACAGGAAAGAATGGTGAAACCATTCACATACCGCAGGCATTTTATCAGGACAGACCAGTTCTTGGGGAAAGACCTCATACTGGGAAAGGTGGAGGATCAGAGAAAGAGAAAAAGACCTTCAGCAAGATGTACCTGACACGGAGACCATAAGTGGCTCAAGCATGTCGGAGATCATGAGAATGGCTCTAAATAGGGCAAAGTCACTGCACATGGTATTGAACTCAATTACACGTAACAGCAATAACAAACTCTGAAATGCTTTGAGAATGTCAATATCTTTGTATGTTTTCATTCCTATTAGAACTTACCAGAATGATTTCTAGACTTTCACATATTAGTTGACTAATTGAAGTAGTATATGATTCTGGTCTAGACCACATAACTTCTTATTTTTGCATATGTGGTAAAGGAGATTATTATGAAGAATTATGTATTTAAATATAAGCTAATATGAAAATCTAGCAAAGAAGACTGTTATTCTGAACCACTGAGTTGGAACCCACTCATAGCTGACCCTCCAGCAAGTTTTTTAGAGGCTTTAAGTTTTTCAGTAGGAGATTGCCCATGTTTCTTCCACAGAGTGGGTGGACTCAAACTTTGTGCCTTTGGATTGGCAACATAACTCCTTATCACTAGGCCACCAGAGTTCTCTAACAAAACATAAGTTGAAATTAAAATTCAATGCTGTCAGTGGGAGAAATCTGGAGAGACCACATTGGATATCAGCTATGAGAAGATGCTCATGAGAAAGGACAACTCACTTTTAAAAAACAAATTCATTTTTGGCATTATCAGCACACAAAGAGAAAGGTCAGTGTCTCACCTGGGTGAAATTCTGGCTGGCTGTCTTCCTGCAAGTCAAACAAAGAAATATACAAGTAAATGGAGGGAGCCACCTTCCTCCGAGCTTACCTCCAGCTCCCATGAGGAGACTGTACCTTGTGACTCAATCGCACTGTAAACCCAAGACAGTCTAATGATCCTTAAATAGAAATTTTATGTTGCAGATAAAGAGATCCAAAATATTTATATAGGTGCAAAGTCACAAAGACGATTTGCACCAGTGTAAAAATTTTAACCGTAGCCTCCAAACCATCAAAGATTTTGCTATTTCTGTTTGGGTTTGCAATCGTACTATCTAATTTTTATGACAAGCAGTTGCTTCCACAGCTCTGTTATAGAAGGAATGAGACGCTCAAAGATGCCAGAAAAACTTGAAACTTAAGTATGAATATCATATTATCTTCTTTTGTCCAGTTTCTAATTTGTTCAATAAAGGAGTTCAAGATCGAGCATGCAAGTAAACTTGAGTTTACTTTCCAGAGTGCTAGAAGATGAAGCTAAAAACCCAATACTTTGATGATGATTGTAGACTGAGTGGCCTGTTGGAAGCTCTTTGAGGAAATTACATTTAAACGAAAAAGTATGAAAGATGCGGCACTGAGTAGAATGTGTGAATATGTATATAAACATGTCAGAGAGAATGAAAAGATGAAAAAGAATTGATGCGCGGACTGACTAGAAGTGGAAGATTGTGTAACTGGAGCTCTTAACCAATCTTCTCTTCTTTTAATTGATGTTGTTGGTTGCAATTGAATTGATTCCGATGTATAGCAGCTCCATGTGTGCAGAGCAGAACTGCACTCCTCAGGGTTTTCAGTGGCCATAACCTTTCAAAAACAGATTGCTATGACTATATGCCAAAGCAGCTCTGTAGATTTGAACCACCAAATTTTCAATTAATAACCCAGCACCAGTTAACACTTATAACACACTCAGGGAACCTACTTCTCTTCCAAGGATTAATTAATTATTTATATATAGTGGCAAGAAACTGTGCTGCAATCTTGAAGGCATGCAGTTCAAGGCCACCAGCTGCTCCATGGAAGAGGGATGGGCGATCTCCTCCCATTCGATTAACTGCCTCTGAAAACCTACTGAAGGATCAGCTATGGGTTGGTTCCCACTCTATGGTACACAACAACAATGTGTGTGTACATGTGAGTGAGTGTGTGTGTGTGTGAGTGTGAGTGTGTGTGTGTGTGTGTGTGTGTGTGTGTGAGTGTGATAGAGAGAGAGAGAGAGAGAGATTTATTGTTGTGCATCATCAAGTTGGAACTTGACCTTCCAGCTGGTTTTCAAAAGCAGTAAATCTCATGGGAGGAGACTGTCCAGCCTTCTCCTAGGAAACAACTGGTATTTGGGATTGCAAGGTAGCTTCTTACTACTAGGCCAATAGAGCTCCATATATAAGGGATCAGTCCTTACAGAAAGAAATCAGAAGGGTGAAGGGAAAGCCTGGAAGAGGAAGACCACAGAAGTGATGGATTGATACCATAAATGAGGCAATGGGATTAGGTGTGCTGGAGTCAGTGAGAGCGGCTCAGGATAGTGCCGGGCTCAGAGCTGTCATACATAGGGTCGCTATGAGTGGCAGGCTATTTGAGAGCTCTCTATCTATCTTTATCTATCTCTATCTCTATCATCTCTATCTCTATCATCTCTCTCTATCTCTATCATCTGTCTCCATCTCTATCTCTATCTCTATCTCTATCAAACTATCTATATATATAGATATATGAGCAAGAGCCTATGGTGATGAAAGAAGTTCAAGCTGCTTTGAAGGAAATGGCTAAAAACAAGGCCCCAGGAATAGATAGTATACCAATTGACATATTTCAGCTAACAGATGCTGCCCTGGATGTGCTTACCAAGTTGTGCCAAGAAATCTGGAGAACAACCACTTGGTCAACTGACTGGAAGACATCTATATTTGTTCCCATCCCAAAGAAGGGTGACACAACAGAGTGTGGAAACTATGGAACAATCTCACTGATTTCACATGCAAGCAAGATTTTACTGAAGATTATCCAAAAATGACTGGAATAGCACATCAGCAGAGAACTGCCAGAAGTCTAGGCTGGGTTTAGAAGGGGTCGTCGTACTAGGGATATTGTAGTTAATGTTAGATGTATCTTAGCTGAAAGCAGGGAATACCAGAGGAATGTATATCTGTGTTTCATTGATTATGCAAAGACGTTTGACTGTGGGGATCATAACAAACTGTGGCTAACTCTGAAAAGAATGGGAATCCCAGAACGCTTAATCATGCTAAAGCGAAACCTATACTTGGACCAAGAGGCAGTTGTCAGAACAGATCAGGGAAACACTGCATTTTGAACTATGGTTCAAAATTGGGAAAGATGTACCCCAGGGATGTGTCCTATCTCCATACTTTTTCAACCTCTATGCAGAACAGATTATCTGAGAGGCTGGGCTCTATGAGGAGAAGTGTGGTGTCAGGATTGGTGGAAGATCTATTAACAATCTGCATTATGCAGATGACACAACCCTGCATGTTAAAACTGAGGAAGACCTGATGCACTTGCTGCAGAGGGTCAAGGACTGCAGCTTTCAGTATGGATTGAGGCTCAATGTCAAGAAGACAAAGATTCTCACCACTGGACCAATTGGCAGCATCAGGATGGGTGGTGAAGAGATTGAGATTGTTCACAACTTTAGTTTGTTTAGCTGCACGGTCAACACTCTTGGCACCAGCATCCAGGAAATAAACAAATGTATTGCCATGGGAAAGTCTGCTGTTAGGGACCTCTCCAGGGCACTGAAAAGCAATGGTGTCACTCTGGAGACTAAGGTGCACCTGATACAGGCCATGGTCTTTGTAATCACTTGCTATGCATCAGAGAGTTGGACAATGACTAGGGAGAATAGAAGAAGAATTGATGCCTTTGAGCTGTGGTGCTGGAGAGAGTATTGAATGTACCATAGACTGCCAAGAAAACAAACAGATTAATCCTGAAGAAGGTTAGAACAGGCTGCTCCTTGGAGGCAAGGATTCTGGGACTTCGTCTGACACACTTTGGACATGTTGTAAGGTGGGAGACGTCCTTGGAGAGGGACATCATGCTTGAGAGGGTGGAGGAACAGTGTAGGAGGAGAAGACTCTATGAGGTGGATTGATTCAGTGACTGGGGTAATCAGGATGGGTGTGTCTGAGGCAGTGCGATTGGCACAGGGTAGAGCAGAGTTTAGGGCTGTTGTACATAGGGCCGCTATGAGTCGCAAAGGACTCAAGAGCACAGAACAACAACACAACATCTATCTATCTATCTCTATCTCTATCTACCTCTATCTCTATCATCTCTATCTGTATCTATATCTCCAACAGAAGCACAAGTAAGCAGGTTGAGTTTTAAGTGATAGCTGATAACACATGGGAGATAAAGCTCTATCTGAAAACTTTACAATACTTTAATAGGCAGCCTTTTCATCTACATGGTGGTTATAAGCAGTCTTGTGGGCAAGATGGTTATCAGGATATCATCAATCTATACAATCACAAATTCAGTCTATTTCAGTGAAAACATATGTTGCAGATAACAGATTCTTGATCTCTACAAATACTAACCTATTTTTCTCTTGATCCAGTAGCAAAATAGTAGAAGCACAGTGATGGTACTCAGAATGCTGAGCAGCCCCGCAATGCTTCCTGAAGTAAGAAGCCTCTTGCTGTTCTCGGGTGGCACTGAGAAGAGAGACTCAGGCATAAGTGTGGTGTTGGGGGGACTGAGAATCTACCTGAATGTAGCTACTTGAGTGTGGTCAATATCTACTTTTCCCCAACAAGCATTCCCTTATTTACCCAGGGCTTGCAGGACATCATGCTGATGAAAGGAGAATAAAAGCACCCAGCATTTGGGTCCTCTGCACTCCATAGATACATCACCCAGAATAGCAGCACCTACAGAAGCTTCATCTATGGATAGCACCAGCCCAGCAGCACTGTGGCAGCATTAGCAAAACTTTCTCAGGAAACTGAGAGAGATAGAGATAGAGATAGAGATAGAGATAGAGATAGAGATAGAGAGAGAGAGAGAGAGAGAGAGAGAGAGAGAGAGAGAGCAAGCGAGCACAATTCCGTCCCCTGAGCTATACCTGTGACATTGAGTAGCACAGCCTCACTGTGCTGGGTCCCCAGGCTATTACCAGCCTCACAGGAGTAATTTCCAGAATGGTCTGCAGCCAGTGAGAGGTTGAAAGACGATCCTCCTTCAGAAGAGGCCCAGCTGCTCCCCAGGATGACATCCTTGTGATAAAACTGGTACAGGATCGGAGGAGAACCTCGTTGGGCCTCACAGTGAAGCTCTACCACATCCCCCACCATAACTTGGGCCCCAGCAGTCCTGAGGGTGAGAACTGGGCGAGACACTGGAACTGACAAGAGAGTTAACTGTCAGAGGAGTCTCTGATGACAGGATAGACCATTCATCCCTGCCCAGAGAGGCTAAGCTCCACTGAAATTTCGTCAGAGTGTCGCAGGGTAACACAGCGAGACTTACTAGTTGAGATGGAGAGTGGGGGAACTTACTTCTGACAGTAACGCTCACCAGTCCACTGGACTGTGGTATGTAACCATTGTCAGCTGTACAGTAATATTGCTCCGCATCACTCTCCTTCACCATAAGGATTTCAAACTCCGCAGTGAGGGAACGCTGGGTCTTTGTGCCCAGTTGCAAACCCGTGTTCACTTTGTACCAAACGAAGGTGATGTCTCCTGTGCCTCGAGTGACTGAGCAGACAAGGACTAGCTTCTCTCCTTCTGCCACTTGTCCTCCCGGAGGCTGTGTCTCCAAGCTCACATCAGAGACAGGGACCCCTGCGTGAACAGAAGATGACACAGAAGGACTCTGAGTAAGGAGGAATTCAGAAACAGAGAGTAGGTGTGAGGTGAGTAGGGAGGAATTCAGAGACAGACAGAGAGTAGGTGTGAGGATGCTGAAAGCAAAGACCTCAGGTCAAGGCAGTGAGTTACATAGTTTGAAGGAAAATAAACAGGGTGGTTTCTGCTAATTTGGATTTGATAGTATTGGAAAAAGAAAGGCATTATACTATCACAATGGAGTCTGGAATGCCATCACTATTGCTCCCTAGATCATTGTGACTCTCAGTTAAAAAAATGAGGTCAAGTGCATCTCTAGATCAATTTTTATTTTCATGGAAGCAGAATAAAGATAACAGAGAAGAACAGTTCTGAGTTTCCAAAATCTTCAATTCTCGAGGTATGGCAGTTGTATATCCTAGTAACAAATCAAATTGCCTGTGTATGAAGGCTGGTTTCAACTCTGACTTGCTATATGCCCAAGAACAAATGACTTATAGTCTTATTTACAAAATATAAGTAATAGCTGTAAACGTTATGAAGATTCAGTTCAACAACATGTGTGAAGTATCATGACAAGGTTTGTTGTAAATAAATTGTGTGTAAAGAAAGCTATGCTTTTGTTTTGCTTTTTTTCCCTTCCCAGTTTCACCAGATTTGAAAGCATAGGAAAGCGCTGCCCTTCGTTGGACGTGTGCTTTAAGGCACAGTACACATGTGATCTGAGAGTGGGGAAAGAGGTTGACACTGTCCACCATAAATGGAATAGGCTGGCTCAAAATAACAAACATGTTCTTTACTGTTTTCTAAATTTCCTGCCATAAGCCTATTCCATTTACTCCTGTAAAATCTCTCCTCACCTCTGTTCCTTTTTCTGTAGCCTCTACTGATTAATACTCAGCAATGCAACACCACATCATTTATCCTAGGTTATTAGGGTGCTGGTTGCACATCAACTTTCTACAGTCAAGCACTATGTGTGATACTACAAATTTCCCCGACACCTTCCATTATGGGAAAAATATACAGCAAATGTTTCTGCAATGTTCTTATTTGTTTGAATGTGAACAGCAAATATAAGAACACCTCTTAAAGATTCTATGCTGATTTTAATGGTGTCTCTTCAGATATGGGTTGGAATCCTGACCCTCACCTCATGATTGTGAATGAAATACCTTTGGTGAATGTTCTTTGTTATGATAATGAGACCATGTTATTGTAGGATGTGCTCTAAACCTAATCTTTTCTGAGTGATATGTGCAGAAGCCTAGACACTATTACAAACAAGTACAAAATTGACAGAGATAAATGCCCCTTGTAAATTGTTAAAGATCTGAGAGATTCTGGAAAATGCAAGAATCCTCTTCATTTTTTCCAGTCCCACATCCTAATGTTGAACTTCTAACCTGTGAGAACATCAATTTCTATTTTCTAAACCCATAGTATTTGTGGTATAGCAGCACTCTGAAACAAAGGCAGATCTGATAGAAAGGTTTAAGTACTTCTCTAGGCCAATTCCTATACTCGAGGAAGTAGAATACAGTAGATAAGAATGACCAGCTTTTTGCCATTCTCTCTCTCAGCCCATCCTAGCCCCCTGGGCCAGCTGATACTCACTGTGTACACGTATCTGTAACCTACTGCTCCGTATAACTTTGCCATTCGCTGGCTTTGCTTCACACCAGTAAGATCCTGAGTCAGAAGTCCTCATGGCTAGGATCTCAAGCTTTGAGGAACTGTTACAGGTCGATGTCAGGGCCCCATTATCTCTGAAGAAGCAGAATTGAAACTGAACCCTTGGTTTCTGTAGAGAGGTGTGGACCTCACAGGTGAGGGTCATTGATTTCCCCTCTGTGGGCAGTGAGGAACTGGATTTCAGAAGCAGCACTAGAGGGGGGGAGAAAAAAGAAATACATTTTCCAGGGCAATGGAGCTCAGGTTCCTGATGAGAGGCACACTGTAGTCTCAGCATTTGCAAACAGAACTCAAAGAAAGAGCCAATTGAACATATATGTTGTTG